CACAGCCTATTGTCATTAGGGGTCTCCTGTACCCACTTCTGCCACCCCTTAATATGAGCTGGGGAGGAAAAAGGACTTCTTTTTCCTCCAACAGAGTAGTCTGAAAATATGCTTCTGCAACTTAACTCCACAGGTAAAACGGGGTATGTTGCACATCACTACTTAACTTGCCTAAAACCCCAAGACACTGGTTTTAAACTGCCTCTCCTGAGTATGTCTGAACCTAAGCTGCCCTCCAGGACTAGGAACTTGATTGCTTTGTCATGGTGGAAAAAATCCCATTGAGTCAAGCAAGCTACAAATACAATCACCAAGTCAATAAAATAAAAAACCAGGACCTTATTCCCTTCAAGCATTTGGTATAGCATTGTGTTTACAGCAATCAGAACACCAGTCCTCCCAAACAGGACACATTGGTAGGCATGCGTAAAAGTTTTTCTCTTGTAGAGACAAGACCTAAAGGTCTTAAGGACGTAAGAACACTGCAAATGAACATGAAGGATGTCACGTCAGCCAGTAGTGTCATAATACTGAACAAAAGTTTACACTTCCATACCTCGTAGTGAAACCAGAACAAACTCGGAAGCATTTCAGGTCTCAGTCCAGTTTGCCTGAACATTTGGTTTTATTTACAGATTCTCTAGCAAGGGCAGCTTAATATCTCCACAGGCAGGCAGCAAAAACAAAAGCAAACAAAAGCAAGCAGTCACCACATAGTACACACTTAGTATCTCTGTTTCAATTAAAATGCTTTTCCAACAGGCAGGATGAATCCTTCCCCCAGGCAGATTCTCAAGTATTTCCCAAGCCTGTCTGATGCTAAATTGAGGTAGACGATTTACTTCTGCAAAGTGAGGTAGAACTTCAAGCAAAAGATAGTGGCATCTCTAGTTGTGCATTTTGTACCACAGCAAACTGGGTTTCAAACTCCCAAGGACTCAAAGACCAAAGGTACAATATTTGTCTAACTCAAGTACCAGTGTTCCTTTTTTATACAGTTCCAAACTGTTTGTCTAAATATCTCTACTTTTAAATACCCTATTACCTTTTGGCACCATTTGGCTTACACTCCTTTAAAAAATAAACAAAACTTTGGCACAATATTTTTTTAAACTAGAACTGAACAAAGAAATCTTATGATCAAAGTTATGGCAAGGTGAGTCTATAAACCTGCTCTCTCCAGAAATCAATTTTGGTTTAACTAACATAACCCACTGGGCCCACTTTCCTTCAATTCCAAGGGAATGCCACATCTAAGTGACTTGTTCTTTCTCTCAGGTTGGTTATGTCTGGCCCTAATACGCATTAGTTTTCAGGTGTTATCTTCCTTTCCTTCCTTTGTTTGAAAGTTTCAGGTTTAAGGGCCCTCCTTAAATAAGTTATATTTTAAATGCATTAAATCAAAAGGAGCAAGTTATGTGAAGGACCTGCATTATCAAGTACTGAATCTGCTTCAGTTTGCTACTAAAGCTCCTGCTTAAATAATTCTGAGAAGGATAAGATTGCTTTACATGCTGAGCACCCAAACCAGCCACACTGATTGCTGATAACATTTTGTCAAGCAAAAGGTTTTTACAGAGAGCCACTGGTTTAACCTGGCATAGAGAAAATCCTTTGGGAGTTCGAGTAGACAGCTCTGTCCCCCACATTTGCTGTTCCCCAACCAAGAGGCACACACTCACTTTACCCTTCTCCAGGCCATTTCCCCTAGTTAAGAAGGTTACTCCGAATGCTTGTTTGGTTTGCAACCCAGCTTCCAAGCCTTGTTTTCCTCTCTGCATGCATGTACATTATGATATTGGGGCATTAACCTGAGAACATGCATGGAAAAGCAGAGCAAGATTGGAATCTCATTTAGTACTTTTTAATAAGCCTCTATGGGGCATCTGATGTTGGCATTGTATATTAGCACTACTTTTTTTCATTGCATATAAAACACTCCATTTTATAAGCTACACTACCACTTTTCAATGAGACCAAGTGTGCTTAGCACTATCTATCACAAAGATAAGGAATTCTTTTGGGTAGCTAAACAGTAGTGTTTTTAAAACGAAAAAGCTCCCCAACAACATGAGGTCAAACACTCAAGGTTCGGTTTGCAAGCAAATCCCACTGAGTTAAATTGACAGAAACTTAGAAAGAGTTTAAGTCATTCCTCTTCCTGACTGAGCTGGGCTGGGGGGTTGTGCAATGGCTCCATTCAAAAAGCAAAGGGCAACTTCAGTGTCTGTCACCTTCCACACGGTGCAGGCTGGGAGGGCAAAACGCCCCTCCAGTTCAACACAATCCTGACTGCACACTTTACCTTTTTTTTTTTAATGCCTGGAAAAACAACTCCCTTCTAGCCACAGAGAAGGGCAAACCCCACAAGCATTTAAGCACAAGAGCGTTTCTAGGACACTTCAACGCTGTCAGCCACTCTGGTCAAAGCATTCAGAGACCTGGCGTTTTCATTAAGACATGACAGGATAAATGCAAGGACACTGCAGACTAAACATTAAAGCTTTTTAAACCACTATTCTTTGGTATCTAGATCTTGCAGGCTGTTAGTTTTCACAGCCCAAGTTGCAAATAATTCTTGGGCTGAATAATACAAGACAACCACGGACATCTGTCACAGCTGTAGGCCACCCCCAAGAAGGGAGGCGTGCACACAGGCGGAACTTGCAAAACTTGAAGGTAAACTAGCTCTCTCTGATACATGTTTTGTGTGGCCACAGAAATTTATTGACAGACATCTGTATAAAAGATTATCCTTTCATACTGTTTTTAAACCATGCCATCCTAAGATTAAGCCTAACTGAAACACACTGCTTTGAAGAGTTTGCTTCCTTGAGGCTTTGGCTGAAAGGCAGCACAGTTGTTTTATCCCATTTAATTTAGTTGGTTTTCCTCACCCTTCTTTTGAAAGAGGTTTTGCCATCTCATGAATCTTTCTTGTCTCTTTCTGGTCCTTTAGTTTAAGCCTCCTCTAAAGTGGCAGCTCTCTCTGTCTGCACACATCATTGGTATTTCTACAAAACTCAAAAAGTTAACACTCCTTGGAGGGGAAAAGCAGCAAGAAGGAAAGTGCACCTTGTGATTTCTCACAAACTTGTAAAGAGCCTGTCAACCTCAGGTCACTTTTGTGCATGGTGGCTGGCAGAGAGAGGAACCCTTTCCTTGCAGGATGGTTAAGGCTCGTCAGACTTTTTGACAATGACCAAATTTACATTTCAAAGATCTTCTCTTGCAAGCAGTAAGGTAAATCCCATGGCGTTTCCAAACTCAAGAGTACTGACACGTGAGTTTTTCCATTGCAGAGCAAGAAGAGCCCTCTCTTGCCCACTTTAAACAATTCTTGTTTGCCAACACCAGAGGGTGAAGCTACAGGTCTGTAGAGACCATATCTGCTTGAACAGCTAAACTGGAATACAGGAAATTGAAGAATAAAACCAAATCCTTCCAGGGACTCAAAGTCACATTTTGCTAAAGAGATCTCTATTCTCCCCAGAAGTTTCTGCTTCTCAGAACACCAGTTTCTATATCCCCGAAAGGGCAAACGTCCCCCTGCCTCCAAGCTTTTAAGGATCATATACATTAATTTTACACAGAAGTCTTTGGTACTGCCCTGGGAAAAAAAGCAGCAAAGTTTCACCTTGATGCAGTTTGCCTTTAGCTGGTACTGGTAACTCTTCACTTGGATCTGTACCCAGAGATCCTGCAGCAGGGAGCTCCAGGCCCACCCCACCCACCCTAAAAGCTACAGTAGCTATTCCCAAAATTTTCAGTCCAGCTCTCTGGGGAAGCCAGAAGAGGAAAAAAAAAAAAAAAAAATCAATCAGTGAGAGAGTTATTGCAATTCTCTCTGAACAAAAAAACCCAAAACAAAACAAAACAACTGTTGACTTCTCCAAATCACACCCTGAATCTCCAAAGCTGTGCTTATTTCTTTTGGAAAAAGGTACCACTTCTAACAAATTCAAACTTTATTCCCTTAAGGTTTCTCTATGGGAAGGGGCAAAAACACTAAGTCATTTCACAAGAAAGTAAATCGAAAGGGTTTGATTTTCCCTGTTTCAATGCTCCTCCTAACCTCTTCTGTTACCTAGATTAGGGGCACTGATAAAAAGAAACAGCAACTTTTTTCAAACTAATTTAGCTTTCAGGTGAAAAGAGGTAAAAATGAAATTCTCAATAACAGGATACACTAAAGGAAGCCTTGCTTTTTATCTAAACTTTACAATGACCGCACTAAGCCACTACAATGAAAAATTTGGTTTAAACTTAAAAGAATTTTTGTGCATTTTCATCAGCTTCACTTTGTGCTGTAAAATTACTGTGTTTCAGTAAAAAAAATACACAGAAATGCCAAAAAAGATGCAAACTTGCTCTTCCTGGCGAGTGAATCTCACTCACTTTCATAAAACGTTCAAAGTTGTCTGGGAACAAGATGCTGTGCTCGCCAGTAAATCAAACACACTGAGGTATAAAAAGGAGAACAGGAAAAAGTTCTCTGCTGCAGCAGCAATGAAAAAAAAAAACCAAAACAAAACCAAAACCAACAACAACAACAAATGTCCCTCCCTCCCATGTCCCCACCCACAGAACTGCAGAATGGTCAAGAACACAAATTTCTCTACAAACACCTACTACCATTTTCTCCATTTAAAAAGTTACATAGCGCCTTTCTTGGCTTAGTCTAACAGAACTCACCACACAAACCACCTAATGTGCACAGCAATTCTCGTTTGTGCATGAAACCCCATCGGGGGGAAAGAGGTAAAACGTTCTGAACTATGAGTATGTGGGGATGGGGAAGGGGGCGAGAAATCGGGGAGGGAAGGGAGGACAATGAGGTAGATAGAATTCAATTTTACAGGCTCACTCCCTGCAGAAAAGGTAAGTACATTCATCTGTAAAAAAATTAAAGATGAGGTAGGTTTGAACTAACGTTGTATTTTTTCATTTTCTCTTAGAAGAATTTCCCTGAGACAGTTTCTTCCTAATTCAAGCACAGATTAGAAGACGAGAATTCGATTGTTTCCAAAGTCGACCACCACAATCATGCCATCAGGGGTGACAGCTATACCTGAAGGACGGTCCATCTGACCAAAGCCGCTTCCCTGAGTGCCAAACTTGCATAAAAAGCTACCATTGGACTCGAATATCTGCACCCGGTGGTTCCTGGAGTCGGCCACGATGATGCGCCCTTCCTGATCCACCGCCACACCCTGCGGGCGCAGGAACTGCCCGTTGCCGGTGCCCTCGGAGCCCAGGAAGCGCGCCGACTGGCAGTCCGGGTGGATGACCAAGAGGCGATGGTTGTTGAAGTCCGTCACTACCAAGTGGCCCTCGTGATTGAACGTCACGCCTCTGGGGGAATCAAAGTGCTTCCAGAGTACCCCTTCGAAGCCGTACTTGTTGAGGAACGCGCCGTCGGGCCCGAACAGCTGCACGCGGTGGTTCCTCGTGTCAGAGACCAGGATCTTGCCCTCCCCGTTGACGGCCACGTCCCACGGGTAATTGAACTGCCCGTTCTTCGTTCCTTTCTCCCCGAACTTCAGAATGAACTGCCCCTCGAACGTGAAGATCTGGATGCGATGATTGTCCTTGTCGGCCACGACGATCCTGCGCGAAACGTCGCAGGCCACGCCGGCGGGGCGATCGAACTGGCCCGGCCGGGAGCCCAGCGTGCCAAACTTGTGATGGAAGGTCCCGCACGGCTTGAACACCTGGATGCGGTTGTTGCTGCGGTCGGCGACGATGATGAAGCCCTCCTTGTCGACGCTGACCCCCCAGGGGCGGCAGAGCTTGCCGTCGCTGTCTCCCTCGCTGCCGAAGGACAGCCCCGGCAGCCCGATGCCGATGTAGCTGCGCCCGGACTTCACCATCACTTTGAAGGGGCTGTTCTCGATGTGTTGGTTGCACATCATCACCGACACCAGGTGCTCTCCCTCCAGCTGGGGACGGTAGCTGACCAGGTAGGTCCCGTTCTGCTGATCGCTGACGTCGGCCCCGAACAGGTTTCCATCGGGGCCCATGACCACGGCAGAGATCATGTCGCCCCCCGAGAGGCGAGGCTCCCCGTCGTGGTCGTAGCCGATCACGGTGAACGAGGCCACCTTGCCCTGCAGAGCGCGCTTGAGACCTTCCCCCGTGGCTTTGGTCAGGGGAGCGAAGGCCCCGCTGCTGACAAAGCCCATGGATTTGATGGCCATATACAATGCCTGGTCAGGGGGGGTGAACATGATCCTGTCGTCCTCCTGTGGCTGGAGAAGGCCTCTGACGTTCTTCAGCTCCTGCACCTGAGCCAGCATGCGGTCCCGAGCCAGGAGAATGTCCATGGTGCGACCCTCCTCCAGGACCTGCTGAACAGCACTAATGGTGTTATCCAGCTTGTTCAGGTTCTGACGTAACTTTTCAACTTGCAGGTAGAGGGACTTGGCCTTGACTTGGCGAATCTTTTCCACCTTGTGGGAAATGGGGGAGAGAAAAGTGCACTTACATCAGGAAAGACAGACCACAGAGATTTCCTTCAGTCTCCCTTCTACATAAAAGCCAGCTGGACAGTTGCTATAGCATGCTGACACACAGCTGCAAAACAAACCTCTGAAAATCACAATGCAGACAAGAAGAAACAAGGAAAACAAATTACTTATCCAAATTTAGGATTATTAGTCTCTCCTACCCTCCAGGCAACACCATACATTCCTACTCTGCAGATCTGCTGCATCAGAGTGACATTTGAGAGTGAGAATCACTTGCTTACTAGTAATTATTTGCTTCCACAACTGCTATTCTGTTTTCTAGTTGCAAGGTACTTGACAGATCATCCAAAGGCACATCTCATTCAGCCCCCAGGGAGGACAAAAGTTATTGCAGCCTCTCAGAAGAGCAGAGGCTGAGGCTTCACTAACCAGAACTTAGACTAGTTTCAGAATGTGGGTTGCTGTCCCACTGGGCTGAGCTGGGAGGCAGCTAATGCACATGGGCTCCTGTCATTCCCTCGCCTGCCAGAACTGTTTTTGTGTGACTGGATAACACCAGACATCTATCTCCAGGGATTTTTAGGGTCCAATTATTTTAATATTTTCTTGTAAATACTGGCAGTCAACCTGAGCTTGTGCTTTAAAACAGGATGTTTTGTGAATGTCACTTCAAATAACACAGAAGGTTGCTGCCAGTCCCTGCTTGAGGGACTGAAGTTGGTGCAAAAATGCCTGTTTTGTAACTCATCTATATAAGTCTGTGTCTACCCTTACTTGTGAAAAACCACTTTGGACCATCTGGCAAAGACACCTGCTGCTGCATAAAACTAACGTAACGCGTCTTTGTTTTATTGTTGCAAAAGAACATTTCCTGATGTCTGAATACTTGCTTGGCCTCAGAACAGTATCTGGAATGCATTTCAGTGAAGGAAGACTCAATGTCTGAGGATTCCTTGATTAGACACTGACTAGATAACATATGTACAAACATGCTGTAAATTGAGGTGTGTAGGTTTTACCAAGCTGTAAAAAAAATCTGGAGATACTTCTTCCAATCAGTAATGCATCCAAGACACATTACTGATCTTAGGTCTTTGCTAAATCCATAGACTCAGCCCTGGTATACAAAATTGTTTATTAGCATGCTTGATACACAGAGTTTGTTTTGCTAAAATGATTTACCACCATGTTCCCTTCTTAAAATAAAGTTTTTCAGCTTGAAGAGAACTTGCTGTCAGTGCAGATGCTCCAACAAAGTGCATTTGTACAGCACAGTAGGATAAAAGAAGCTCAGGTGCAGATCTTACTCCTCCTGTACTAGGAATACCTTAAAAGAGAAAGCTGCCAAGCTTCCTGCAAGAGGTTAACAGTGAAAATCCAAATCCAAACTCTCAAAAAAGCAGCATTCAAAGAGCACTAACTATATAAAGTGCAATTTTAATCTTGCTATTGACACTTACAAAAGAAAACAAAGCTTCTTTTGCAGGGGACCATGACCACTGAATTACTTTTCTGGAACAAGAAACTTGCCTGTTATTTCCTTTCCACCTCTCAAAATACCACGCATGCACTGTTGAACTGAAATGAGCATATCACTTCAGAATTGTGCAGATACTCTTTTCTTATACTAGTTCAACAAAATTGCTTAGAGGCAGGACGCTACCTTGATTGACAGTAAAGGTTTTAAAGGATGGGGACAGTGAAAGTTGGCCTCACAGAATTTCTACCAGCCTTTCTGAAAACAAAAAAGGACAGGATAGGATATACAGCTTTGCTCCTGTTCTTTATGAGGAGTGGATCAGAAAGCCAATTATACTATGTACCTAATTCTAGAGCAGGTATTTTGAATATGTTGTTCAGAGGGGCTCTCCTCTGGGGGCAGCTGCAGGGCCAGCAGGGGGAGTGCCCAGCCCGGGTGTGGGGCTGAGCAGCTCCCGGGATCCAGCAGCAAAAACCCCACCAGCAGCTCCAGGCAAGGAAACCTGCAGCTTCCCTTGGATATCAGAATCTGGCTGTGTAGTGATTTGAGCAATTTTTCAGTTTGAAAAGCACCTGTCAGCAGTACAAACCACAAATGCAAGGGTGCATACCTTCCAGAGCAGCTCACACTCTCGCTCTTCCAAGGCCTTCTTGTGTCTAGTGGTCACTACCTTGACTTCAGACTGTACCACCTTCGCTTTCATCTCGACTTGCTCTGCCACAGCCTGGGCCTGCTCAATACTCAGCTGGGGAGAAAAAAGACACACACACTTAGGGCTTGACCAAACCAATTAAAAATACACCAGCAGACTGCTGCTTACATTTTACATTGCATGCTACGCCTTCAGGTAAAGGCAAAAAGAGACAACTCTTAGTTTCTTACTAGGCCTTCTTCACCCATTCCATACACTGCAGCCTAAAATCTCTAAGGATTCTTTAAATACATCTATTACATGGAGTTTACACCTTCATTGTGCCTTGCACCCTCACAACAGCACTCAATGCCCTGTGCAATTGCAGCGAGCAGCTAATGTGGTGAACAAGAGACTTGCACAGAAATTCATACTCATGTTTTCTTCCATGTAGAGAACTCAGCTTTTCCAGCCCCTCAAAATGGTTCCCTGTTGTTGTGTGATGTTCTAGTAAAAAAATGACACTGTAGGGAACAGACTGTGTTATCTATGCATTTGAACTGCACAGAAATACCCCTAAAAGAGTGTGAAGATAATAAATTTTAAAAGAAAAGAACAAATGGTTGTCAGTAAAAAGTATTCACATAGTTATTCACACCTTGGGTAGAGGTGTAAATTATTTCTAATATTCAAATTATTTCTAATATAACATTGCAATGTTAATATTTTAAAAATATTCTGTAGTAGTATTCTGCAGAATGAACCCAGAAGAAGCATGTCTCTTTTCCCTCCCTCAAATTAAAAATGGTTTCCCCAAAAAATCTTCCTAAACTACTCCCAAGTTTCACAAAATATTACAGAAAGGGGCATAAAAACAAAGACTGAAGGATCACAGTTCCCAATGGAACAGGTTCAATAGCAATGGCTAACAACTTTTTCAACCTTTGTCATACAGTGAGCCAGCAGATGAACCTGTGACCCTAGAGAGGTTAAAAAGATTGTAACTTATTAGTTACAAAATTCTAGAACAAGATGACGGCCTATGAAGATATTCAGCCTAAAAAAGAGAGGAGTTCTTACAAGTATTCACACACTTGAAGGGAGGGCACTGAGAGGACAGAGCCAGGCTCTTTTCAGTGGTGCCCTGTGACAGAACCAGAGGCAATGGGCATAAACTGAGTCAGAGGCTCCCTCTGAACATTAGGAAACATTTCTTTTTCTCAGACATGCAGGCTCATTGAAATCAGCGAAAAAGGAATTTAAAGACTTTACCATACATTCAGAACCTTCAGGAAGATGCCCTCATTTAAACTGTACTTATGAGGATGCACCAATCTTGCAACAATCTATGAACTACCCAATGTGATCCAGCATCATCTGGAAGGTCAAACAGCACACAGTCATATTGCACTAAATTGTTGTGAGTATTTTTGAACTCTCCATTCAGCAGCATCTAGTTTATGCCAATCACTGGAATGCTAAAACATTAAAACTTAAATATAGTGTTACTTGGACATTTCTCATATCAGGTAAGTTATTTTAGGACACCTAGTCTGAACTAGACTTATTCTTTCAGATCACATAGGAGATCCTTTTCTGAAAGAAAAAGGAAGACTTAACTTAGCCAGGTGATTGCTCTCTGGAGACAAGCTGAAGACAACCCTGACAAAATCAGACAAGACAACATTTCCATTTTTACTCCAAAGAATTCTCCTGCAAACTGTCAGGGGAAAACAGGAGTGCTGCTTGACAGCCCAGGGCTCAGTAAGAGGAACAGGTCTTTGACCTCTCCCTCCTTCATGAATTCACTACAGTTTTAACAGGGAATGTCTTCAAACTCATACAGCCTATATATCCCACTCCCACTGGAGGCTGCCCTGCCCTGCCCTCTCACAAAGCTTCTGGCAGGCAAATTTGACAAAAAAATCTCATTACAGTATTTAGCGAAGTAGACATGAAGTCACAATTGGCCACGGATTAAGACTTCATAAAAGCCAGTAGGCTCAGACCCAGCTAAAAGAGGCTACATGTAATACTGTGCCTCTACCACCTCTTTGCCATTCAAATACAGAAGCTGTCCTACAGCAGGGAAAAAGCATGCATTTTTTCCAAAACAGACCTGGATTCCCATCAAGTACAGCAAAACACCTTCCTTCTCTTGCAAAGAGAAAAAGGTATCACCTTGTGAAGTGTCAGGGAAACTATCCACTCATATTCCAATTCTAACAATCATGTCTGTGAAAGCATAAAAAATCTTGATTTACTTATTTTTGCTTTTTGTACTCAGTACCAATTTAGAACTATGATCTATATGCATCCTTATTATACCTTAGGGACAAGAGCAATCCCAACTTCCCTCATTAATCCCCACTAAAACCAGAGTCCACCTTCCAAGAATTCCATCACAGCAGGAGAGGTAGTAATTCCCTGTGGATGCTGGGATCTTTCAGCTATAGGAACCAGTTATGCACAACCAGCTGTCTACCAGCTACTGATGTCATCGTCTGGATTTATTTTTACTTGCCCAGGTATGAACAGCTTAGATCAGTGGGGGATGTCCAAAATGCTAAGATTCTGATATCATCCAGGATATTGGTGATGTTTTGGTAAAATTCAGGGGGCTCTGCACTCTGTGTAAATAAGCTAGAACAGCCAAGGAAGGCTGACCAGCATCAAACATGCAGAGGTATGATGGGGGGAACAGTAATACAAATTTATCTATACCTGAAGCAAAAGCCAAGAGCATTAAGTACAATTTTTGAGAGTCTTCTTCACATGGAAATTCCTTGTTCACTTTGATTACTGTAAGGTGTCAGAGTTCTGCTATGAAAATTCACTCCTGCTGTTCTGCAGGCATTTTCTGTGCTGAACTTTTCTTGGAGAGGTCAGCTTTTTAGGAAGCATGTTGAGCAGCAGTGCTCCTTGTTCTGGTCAGACATCATGCAATCTCTTTAACAACAAATCATTGTAAAGAAGAACAGCTTTTATCATGCTCTCTCCTCGTGGCATGTCAGTTTTTCCAGTAATAGTGAATTAGATGGTCGATCAGTTCACACACTAAGACAAGGCCTGTATTTATCCAAGAATTCTGCTGGGTTACTGAATGTGAGATGGAAAACAACTGTTTTGTTTCCTGCTGTTGGCCAATAAAGTAAATCATCTCTTTGCAGCTGTACCTCTCCACCTGTGGCTTCTCAGGGCTCTAAAGATGGCCAACACCACTTCCCATTCTATTAGACATGTCACCAGTGCCTTGTGTTTGTTAAAAACAAGTGAAAACAAGAACAACACTGCTTTGCAGTGTATCCTGTAAACTTTAGGGTTGAAACTTACTTGAAAGAGTAAAACTGAAGTAGCAGCAGTCCTTGTGCAGGTGACACGTTCCAGGGGGCCACCACCCGAGGACACTGCACACAGAGCTCCCAGTGAGGCACACAAACGTGTTTGCGTGAAGGACAGCAATGCAGACACCCATCACCAGCTGCTGCTACCAGCACATTTCAGTTTTGAGCAAAAGCTGAAGGGCAAAGCTGTGTCAGAACCTGGGCGTCCTTCACAAGCTCCCTATAGGGGGGACACCTCTGTGAGCTCCCCTATATCTACATTTCACCACCTGAGGGAAAAACTATTGATGATCTTGCTCCAGTGGCCACGGCAATTGATGGTACAACATGAACCTATGCAGAAACCAACTGCAAGAGCCAGAAGTAGCAGAGTAGCATTAGAGAGCTTGGCCATGCTTCTGGATGCCTATGCTGACTACAGAGGTGCTCAAATCAAGATTTGCCATTTTGCAGAATGGCAACATTCAGTAATTTTTTGTATTTCCCGTCTTCTGTTGAACAGTAGGAACTACAGCCTCAAGTTACAAAAAAAAATTAAATTATTTCATTTTTACCTAAATATGCCTAAGGGATATTTAATGTTCTAGACTTCCAAGTTTTCACTAGTGCTACTTTGTTATATGAAAAAAAAAAAATCAGAAGCATAAAACGCTCCAGGAGAAAAAAAAAACTGTTACAAAGCTTGTGCTCTGAAGAGCTATGACAGAGGTGCTGATGCCCTCACTGAATGGTTTCTGCTGTGTGATACTCAAATTAAATCAGTATGTCCACAGTTATGCCCACTCAGCACACAGTTATTTGAAGAGGCCACCTCAGGTCTCATAAACAGCAGGGTGATCCAGGTGCTGAGCCATGATGTTAGATGACACCAATTTAGTCCAGGAATTTATCCAAGTGGACAAACTGCAGCACCACACACCACAGTGGCTGCACCATGAGATACATAAAGGCTGCTTATGGCAACTGCACTGCAACTCATCAGTGCTGGCTTGCATGAACATATTTGAAAAAGTCACTAGGATTTTTTAATTCCATCCATTCAAAGACGGGAGGGAGCTATAATTTTTCAGCCATTAATTCCAACACTTAAGAAGTTTCCTAATCTCAAGTTTTCCAATGAAGGTGCAAACCTCTGGAGAGAAAATTCAAATTCAAAAGCATTTGAACATTTTGGTTCTACTCAGGAATTCTTCAGTATTTGAGGGGTGAATGGACCACAGGTATTGAATAAAGAATATTAAATATATACTTTCCTACTTCACTATGGAGGATTTGCAGTTTAACCATTAAGGAATTTAAGACTAAGTTAACCCTAATCAGAGGGGAACAAATAGCTGAGATGCTTCTTCTCTCACAAACTCCTTTCTGGATTTCAAAAGCACATTAACTACAAAAAAAATCCTGAAGGAAACTTTTTGGCATGTCTCAAGTTAGCCCTCTTCCACCAAATGGAAGGTGTTCCAGCCATAGGTAGTTTGTTTTCAGTTCCTTAAGGCACAAAAAGATACGGTGGGTTTGTTTCACTAAACTTCTCCAGTTACTTATCACTGAGCCATGCAGGATAAAACAACCAGGACAAAACAGTTGGCTTTCTCCAGCATCAAGAACTTGGTGTTCTTACAGTAGAAAAATTAACTGGAAGATCCTACACAATTGCAGTGAAAGGTACCAGGATTTGCAGTAATACAGGTGCAGCTATAGCACAAACCACAGTAGCTGGACCAATTTAAAGGTTTCAGTCTAATGTGTGTAAACACTACAACATCCTCACTTGAAGTTCCTCACAAAGATAATTTTAAAAGAAGCTTTGATGGAGGGAGGGCTAGAGGCCAGGTTAATTCATGCCAGATACAACTAAACAATCATTTTGGTTTGTGCTGCAAGAACAGACTTTTTGCCTACAGTTTTAGGCAGAACTAGTTTGGACAGTGACACATGTCAAATCCATCTTCCCCAGTAACCATCTGCTCATATGCTGCACTGAGGAACTCACTGAAATACCACACAAAACAGAGACTAACAGTACAAAGAAATTCAGCCTCTTGATACAAATCCCAGCTTTAGAAAGGCACAATTGACTCCATTTTGTTGCCAAAGCTTCATTTCAGATTCTCAAACCTGCAAGCCTGACTTCAAAGCCACGCACAAGGCTGCCTGAGCTAACTCAATGTGACAACCCCAAAGAGATCCCTTGCAGCACAGCAGTGCCATCCTTCTCAGGTATCGACCTCCCAGCACACACATCCATATGGCAACCCACAGGGAAGCTCCCACCCAAGGGCAGAGGCTCAAGGCAACAGATCAGCTTCCTCCTCTGGCCAGCTGAGTTTCTTACAGAACCCCCTCACCCCCTGGAAAGGTGTTAATCTATTTCATACCACTTCCCCCACAAATTTGGGAGGGAAGCTCCTAAGCCTTTCATGACAGATAAGAGCAGCTCCTGCTATGTTCTGCACATGGCCAGTCTCACCAGGCAGTGAGAAGCTTGCATGGTCAAGCACCCCAGCAAAAACAATTATAGGCTCAGCTAAGAAAGAATTTATTTTGTTTTCGAATAAACCCACTTTTTAAGATATCTGAGCTGAACAGATTAAAATGTACTTTGACATGTTCACCTGGAAATTGACCCTAAATGAACACGAGCACTCAGTGCTTTACTGTTACGCAAGTGCATTAGATTACATGCATACATCCATACATATATATACAGTTACACACGTATAGATGTATTTTAAGAAGGTGACATTTTAAAGAAGCCATCTATCTTTCACCATAACAGATTTACGTTCAGGTTGTGACCTAGTCCTTGGAAAAAATTCTGAAAGAAGACAGCTAAGTGTGCACTTTCGTGAGGTAAAACAAGGCAGCGGGACACGCTCCCCACACATAGAAAGGCAGCAGTCCTGATTCCTCCCACACCATTTATCCAGCGTCAACTTTGGCTTTCATATCACCCTGTGAATCAATCTGAGTCTCTGAAAAGGCTGGAAAAGTATCCCAGCTAGGAGTATAGCTTTCTGCTGAAATAAGAAAAGAGTCCTACCAGCACCCCAGCTGGATGTTGCTGCTTCATTCCCTGGCACCATCAACAGTCCTTGCAGCACTGCAGCCAAGCAGCCAGGGGGCTGACCCAGCCAAAAAGTAAAGCCACAGAAAAGCTACCCTTTCAGCTGGATCAGTTCATCACACAGGCACAAGTTCTCAAGTTAGAGACAGGCTCAGGAATGCAGGCCAGGACCATCACAGCACAAGGAAGCATGGACGGCTTTCCACTGCTGCTGAAATATCACCAAGGGGAGACAAAAGCAAGCCTCTTGCTCTTTCTTACAGAGGACTTCAACTTCCTTGAACAGTGATGTTTGGACTCTTCTGGAGTGACAGGCTACATCAGGCTTCAGTGGATCAAGAGGTTGAAATGTATCCCAACTCACAGCATTTTTTTTTTAAAGTCTGAAAAACAATCTTTCCTCCAAAGCCACAGGAAGAGCTTAAATAAACATTTCTTCCTAAAAGCCTTCAACTTTGCTTAACCAGATACTCTCCAGCCAGTTGACTCATGGCTTGATTTCCTCTCTCCTGCAAGGCCGCCCTTCAAATTCCACCTTTCCCCATTTACTCTCAACTACCCCTCCCCATCCATCCTCAACATCTCCTGCCAGGGGAGCTATCACTTTCAGAGCCTATTAAGAAAGAGTTTATGGTACAGCAGTATGTATCAGTCCCACTAAGAAGTGTTACTACAATGTATTACTTTTCAAGCCTCTCAGAGCTCCAGTCTTATGTCCCTCATATCACAGCTTGTACTGGCATTTAATTCTCTGTTGGCTATTTCCATACTTTTAAGAAAACCACCCAAGCCAATTTATTTTAATTTAGAGGCTACTTATTTTAGAGTTTGTTTTGAATTCATGCTGACGCACTGTCTCCTCCCTAGGATAAACATGCAGCTGCACAGCCATATTGTCCCAAGAATAAGGAGAGCTGTGCTCCATGAAAACTTTGAGTTGAGCACCTCTGCCTTTAACAGCATCACATGCTCTTCTGGCTGCTGCTGATGTTGCTTCAGGAGCAGCTGGCTTGGGCTGAATAATTTTCCCATTCCTGCACACACAGATTTTCACCCTGTTAACTTAATCACTGATTTGTCTGCTCACTACTCTTCTTTTGTGCAGTGGTCCAGATTAAGAACCCCACTAAACTAATGAAACAACTCAGCTCTTGAAAACATGGTTCATTTTACAGATCTTTACACAAGCTGCTCAGCTAATACTTCCACGACAGCCTCTTAAGCTGGATGGGCTGCAGCCAGACCTGGGCAAAGCTGCATGAGGGAAGTTCAGTAGAGGTAGAGTTGCTTGTTCAAGTCACATGAGCATAGCCAGTACCAAGAAACTTTTACCTGCACCATCAAGCAACAGTCAGCCCACCACAATGGCAGGAGCCTTCAGCATGAAAGGCAGAAAAAGATAAGGGAGGAATGAGCAAAGTAAACCCAGCTGGAAGAAAATCAGGCACAAAAGCATTTATGCAATAGTAGCAGAGTGGTGCTCCATGATCTCCTGCTAGTTTCTACTCCAAAACACAGTCCTTAGATGATTTAGCTGTACCAGTCAGATGATTAAGAGCCCTGGAGGTCAAAAGCAATAGTTTAATTACTAAATGGCAAGCCCTTGTCTAGGACAGCCTGGAGAAATTCAGTGATGGTCTTTAAACTAGTATAATTCCTTCCTTCTTGTCATTTTGGGGATGTGTAAAGCATTTCAGTATGGATACTGCTTTACAACCTAGTTTAAAACAAATCTTGGAAGATGCTATGTTTTACAGGATCCTGACTGAAGCTGGAGTTTAAAGTTAGGCATCCAGCTCCAAAAACTTGTTTATTGTGCCAGTGTAACAAGTTAACATCACAAGCTGAAGGAAAATGTCAACAACCGATTACTATCTATAGCAACATAAACTATTGTCATTCCACTGGTGCAAAGACTTAATGAGAGACTGATTAGTTGCTCTTGTCTCACAGAACAAGCTTAATTCCTTCATTTACTAGAAACAAGCAGCAAAGGGAGGACAATGAGCTTTGGGTTATTTTAATTATTGTTTGTACCTTGCATGTGCCAGGAAAGCCCACCCAATTTGAAAAGTAAGTTACCTGCCTATCCATGACATTCTACAGAAGTTTACTCAAGAAAGAAATAAAATCTTAGTAGTTAAAGCATATAAAGTATATAGTATTGAGTTGTGTACCCAACTCAAATTTAGGACATGACACTAACAAAACTACATGGCAGCAGGTATGGAGTGAAGCTTCCCACTTCCCCTCCAAAGTCTCCCTATAGACCAAACTACTACTAATATAATATCAAAGTTACCACTGGGTATTACTCAGCAAAAGTAATTATCTACATATCACTGCAGTTTAACTCCCTATGAAAATTCCTTCTCTAGTTTGAAGCACTGTGCTACCTTCTCTCCAGCCCTTGCCAGGTATTTGTATTTGCACTACAAAACACAGGTGAGGGAGAGCACAGTAACAGGCAGAGTGTGCCTCTGTGTGTGCAGAGCCATCCTCACATGGAGATAGCTCTGGATCCTCTGCACATGCAGGTTAAGGAATTTCACACTAATCCAGCAGCTGATTAGTATTTTGTATTTGGTGGCAACACTGAAGACATAACAAGAGTCAAAGGTAGGCAGAGTGCTAGAAGCTATAGAGGCAGGAAGATGTTTAAAGAAAGTCTGATTTGTAAAAACAAAACCAGGTTTGGCACTGCCACATAAGATCTGAGCTTTCTTGAAACGCTTCACACTCCAGTGCATTTGCACAGAGCTTCATATATATTGTGATTTACATGACAGGATTATGCTGCAAGAATGCAAAACTCATATAACAGCACTTTATTTTCAGCTCCACTGCCACTTCTGTCAGAGATCTGAGAAAACAGAAGGGGTGAGAAGACTGACAGCAGAAGCAGAGAGCTTTTTGCCTTGACACCTTGCCCTGTAACAGACAAGCTGGGTGGGAGAGGGGGGAGAGGAAGGAGGGGGAAATAAAGTACTCAGGTTGGGAGTACTTACTTGAATAGCCTGTCGTCCTTGCTGAGCATCTGCCAGGAGCTGAATGGTGAGAGTCCTGGAGTCCTGTAGGGCGTCTTGGAGGTAGATAAAGCTGTGACCCACATGTCGTCCCATGGTACATTCCCGACATATGGGGACAGAACAGGTATCACAGTAGAAATGCAGTACCTGGAAGAAAGGGGGGAAAAAATTCTCATTACATAAAGAAGAAATGACAAGAAAACAGAGCCAGGATGTGTTAAAAAAAATAAAAAATCCAAAAGCTCAACTATAAAGGAGACGGTTAGAGGCGGTAGCAACAGGCAAAGGCTTCACAATAGTTTCTCCACAGAGGAAGAGCTATCCTTCCCAGTAAACTCCAAACCATGCCCTAACAGTTAGATGGAAGTGTCATTGTTTTCTTTGCAATACAATACTAGGAAGAGTGTCCACATCAGCTCCTCTTAAGAGCGGAAGCCATCTGCCAACACTTACAGATTGGAGATGGCATCTATGGCAAGTTTCAGGTGAAGACTTTTCCTGAAAATACAAACACCAAATTCTCTTAGGAGGCCATTCAATAATCGATACACTGGAGAGCTGCAACAGCAGCACACCCACTGCTCACAGGGGGAAAACCAACCATGCATGCCGAGAACCATCCTCTCTTTTCAAAATATGCAAATCCCTTATGTTCAGGACAGCAACAATATTGGGGAAAACTCCCCCCCGCCACTTCCATCAACAAAGCAAAAATCCTTTGCTATGACAATGTTTTCTATGCTAGTGATGCTTCAAGATGCTTGAGTTGGAAAACAAGACTGGAACTTTATCATGCCCATCAGAGCATTTGAATGCTGCAGTGACCTGTGGGTAACCACTAAATCCCCGTTCTGTTCACAAAGCACTCCCAAACCCTATATTCAAATCACAACTTAGACCAAGACGCTAGCCTAGAAAGCTGGATCCATTCATCAGCTGTAGCTGCTCCCATTCCATCCAGTAGAGGGAAGTATCACACAGAAATAACAACTTCCATGGAAGCCTGCCTTCTTAGAGCGAAGCAGAAACCAGCTCTCAAGTTTTATTTCCAAAGATGCACATAAAGGAGCATAACACTCCAATACAAGAAAGTTCTGTATTCAAGTCTTGCTCTTAACTACACACACTATTTTTCTTAGACTGTAATAACAGAAAATCTGTATTACCATGGAACAGTAAAATGGCTCGAGGTTTCATACTACGAACAACTTTTCCATCACCAGATATTTGAAGCCTACCTCAGAGAAAGGAGCAGGAGCAGAACAAAGACTGGACAAGTGTTTGATATGCCTGTCTTCTCCCAGCTGTCATCCAGCCATTCCCACTCCAGCTAACAGCTCGTGACATGGGGTGCATTACATCCCCCTTTCCCTTCTCCCTCAAAAGCAAGGGAAGGACAGGACAGGTGATTCCCCCCTTGGATTGCCTGGGCTGCATAAAGTGACATTTTAAGCTCCTACAAGCGCAACAGCTGAAGTGGTACATGGATTAATTTCTCAAAGGGGTATGTGTGTGTTCATGTGCACATGTCAGATTTTACTAAAACCTGCTCTTTTTTTTCTGAAATTTGGTTTTGTTGTAGGGAAACTGGAACAGACTTATGTTTGCTTCTGTTTAAACATTAAATCCACAAGCAGTGTCTCAGATTCCCATTTTTCCAAGTAAAAAAATGCCTTAGGTCTGAAATGCATTGTTCCAACACATCATCTTCCTTAACTAGAGGGATCCTTGTCCTTACACTGCGGTTGTCTAAATATGTATACCACGTTCACTTGCACATGAAGTTCTGTAATTTTTCTGCTGAAATTACAGGAATGTTTATTACATGCTCCTGAATAACTCCACTTAAACAACTGAGAAGTTGAGGGAGAATGAAAACCAAGACAAGGTATCAAGTTAAGTCATATGAATCTGATATACTTTAAAAACATACAGCAGGGATTTGGGGCCTCACTCAAGTAGAGCAGCTGAAAAGAAAATGGTGACCATATGAACAGAAGACCAGAAGCAAGTTAAATCTATTACTAGTCCTACACAATAGCCAGTACCAGGAGCAAAAGTTCAGTCTTCTCCTGCTGCAAGGTAACAGCATCCACTGGTAAAAGAGTCATCCAGCTGTTCAAGCCAAAGAAAAAAAAACAAGCTTAAACTGTTTAGTTGCCTCTTGCCACCCACCAAAATGCGGTGGGAAACATCACTTCTGAATTTTGAATGAAGAGCGACAAGAGCCATATTCTCATTTAGGAAATGGGCAGATTACACAGGACATGGCAGGGGAAGGTCTTGGGTAAATAATATAGAGTCATTGATAAGGCCTTATTTATTTCTTAGTCAAACAAACAAATAAAACAAAAAAGGTCAAAACAAGATAGATTAAAAATGGAGAGCAAAAGAGTTAGCAAGCTGGGGCAAAAAGAAGTAGATATGCTGGTCTGATCTCCATCACTACACTTTTTCCCCTTACGTACACAGAGGGGAAAATCACAAATGCGCAATCCCTAGTGCTCTCCGTAGGGAGGGGGGCTAGCCAGAAGAGCCACCAGAAGAGCACTGAAGGAGTCAGGCTTCAAAGTGAACCAGCAACTCCCCAGAAACTCCTTTCTGGGCACAAAGACTCTGAGAGAAGGCCCAAACTAGGCAGGGGTACGAGGAAGGGCAGGTCTCCTCCCACAACCAGTGTCACACATACTCGTCAGGGGCACCCAGCAGGCTGCACATCAGCTCTACCAGCAAAGGGGGCATGCTCCCAAAGAATAAACCTGGGAAATCTCTGGCTGTGCCGGGCACAACAGTGAGGGGGGGGTGTGCCAGCTGGGCTGCTGGGGCTTGGGCACAGCATCCAACTTGCCTGTGCTTGCAGCCACAGCCAGGAGTTTATTGTTAAGCTCAAGCCTGCTCACATCCCAGTCCCTAGGTCATGGCCACAAAGGTCACGTACTGCTAGATTAAGTTTCTGTGCCTGGTTCTAAACAGAGGGGGGTGGGGGGAACCAGAGCTCCCCTTTCCCCCCATCCCCCAAACAACCAACTCCCTGGAAAAAAAGAAAAAAAAAAGATAACCATGCTGAGGATAGGTGTAGGACAATGCACAGCTGTGTTCTCAGTTCAGAACTGATGCACGCACAGTGCACCCAAAGCAGTTCCAGTTCCAGCAATGTGAGACGGCCTCCCCACATTGCAGGTCTCTGCTACTGCAGCACTGCAATGCTCCTCAGGGACAAACAGCTCCTGCTCCTCACAGGGCAAATAACAACACTGGTGCTGAAGGGTGGATGGGCAGAAGTTGCACGAGGGAAGAGTCAGATTAAATCTTCCTTAGGGGACATCAGCTTACACTCAGGAAAAAAAAAAAAATTACACACCACCCCAAAAATCCCAAACAAATCAAAAACCCCACCAAAACAGTATTTATAGGAAAGTCCTTAAAATTTTTTCCCCTCCCTATCTGAAGAGGCAGAGATTTTACTGCCAAAAGATCCATCAAACTGTAAATTAACTATTGTCCTGTTAATTTCACTATTTACCCAACATAGGAAAAACTGGTTTATAAGCAAACACCTTCAAACATTGCGGGTTTTTCCAAACCACATGAATGCTCTGATGGGCAGCAAGGAAAGAAGTATGAAAGCAGAGACATTTCTCCTTTCAAATAAATTTATAATCTGTGTAAACTGCATTTAATGAATTGTTTCTTTCTGTAGTAATTATTAAGTAATTAAGTAAAAATACCATTTTAAAGATAAAAACTGGTGCCCTACAACACCCTATCCAGTAGGGAGAAAAAGATTAATAAGCAAGTTTAGGAGCTTTTATTTCCTTTTTTTAAACTGTTCTACTCAATTAATTAGTATTTTAGAATTTCCATCAGAATTAAGTGAAGAGAGAAATCAGAAGGAAGAGGGGACTAGTTTTAGAGATAGTTAAAAGTGATTTATTTTAAAATAAATCAGCTATGGGTTGATTATTTCCCAAACAGGAAATATTTCCTGAATTGGTGGCATACAATTTTAGACACAAAACAATAAAGGGAGCCTACTTCAATTTAAACAGAATCAGTGAACCATGTTACAGGGCTATTCATCTTTTACAGCCACAGCAGCCCAAGAAATACAACAGCAAGGCCATAAATGTGATTGCTTCAGGAAAGGCTGTACAGTGCACCGTAAAAACATTTTACAACAGCAGGAATTCCTGGGTGTCGCTCTCCCCATTTTTTGGTCCATCTGCTTTCAAAGGGGGCAGGGGGATGGGCGGAGATGTTGTTAAACGTCCCCCGGGACTGCACAGCAATCAATCATCATCTGATGAATGGCCACTAAAGTTAAACCCTGACCCCACTCCACAATTCCCACACCAGCCCTTCTCTCCTTACTGCTGACCAGCTTCCAGCGCGCCCCCCCACCTCCCAGCCCTCACCAAAATTTCCCGAATACCAAGCCCAGACAAAAGCAATGGAATGTAGTAGGCACCATGACAGAGGAGAATTCAGCAGGAACAGCATCTCAGGAGGCTTATCCTTACACTGTGTTTAAATAAATGTCCTTTCAGCAATACTCTCGGTGCCCTTCTCCTCCCAGCTTGCAAACACTTCACTTCTCTCATTTTCAGAGCACATGTGCATGCAAATGGACAATAAAGCACAGAGAATCTAATCACATAAAAAATTTGTTTTCTGTCATGACATTTCAGTACCTTGCAAGGATTTTATTTAAGCCTACAGTGTAAGGAATTTGTACAAAGCAGCAACACATAAGGTCACATTATTTTTAAAATGCAAGTCTGCTCTAAAAATCTACCCTTAACCAACAAATCTTAACCAACAATAAAAGAAGTCTACAGACAAAACAGTAGCCTCCTGGTTTCCAATTTTGGAAAAGTTTCAGTATGGTACTTGCAAATTAACTTAGGTTGATTTTATGATTAAAAAAAAAATCTTACTGTAGTCAGTTTAAAGTTTTCCATTACTAAAGGTGTTTTATTATCAAGCTCCCTTGACAGTACCTCCAACACCAGTGGCTTTGTTAGGTAGTGTGTAAGGCTTAGATGACCGAGTTTAGTATAAAGCAATTTTCTAAGGAATGGTCCTACTTCCTCAGCACTGTGGGGTTGATCTTTTTCTTTTTTTTTTGCTTCCCTCCCTCCCTGAAG